CCTTTCAACCTATCGAGCTTTTTTGGCAGCATGGCAAGCAGTACGTCAGCCTTAACTTTGAGTTGAAGCGAAAGATGCGGGAGGTGTGGGTGCAGATTCGTCAAGGTTGGTACGGGGACAAGGAGTGGTCAGGCCAGGAGGGGGGGTGGAAGGCAGCCAATTGTTCGAAGCTGGTTGAACACGCCATTGGAGAGATGAATAAGTGGGTCAGGGATCGTGATGCAGGGCTTTCGGGTAAGATAGGCAACCTGCAGAAACCGGACGGGTACGACAAAGATGATGTGTCGCCCGTGGGTGATGTCGAGGAAGGGGTAGGGGAGCAGATCCAGCAGGAAAGCGCAGAATGGGGTGATGGCAGCGACGAGGTTGAACCATGATAAGATTTTTTCCAGTCTTGTGATCGATTGCTACGCCCATGCACTGGGTGTGCCATGTTCCAGCAGCACACATATGTGATTGCTGTGAGCGGGGGTTGCGTCCCTGCTTCCAGCTGCTGCAGTTATGAAAAAAAAATCCAAATTATTCAAATGTCAACAAGTTTTACCCCGGATGCAGCTTGCCACACGTCATCTGCATTCATGTTTATCTTCTTGCGTATTGACCGCCTTCCGTCATGGAAGCGTGTTACGCTACTGTATGCCGACAGGCGCTTGAAAAAATGAGGTACAGGCCGACAAGTGGGGATACATGTTGGCCGGATTTTTCTGCGCACTTTTTCCGATTTCGAATCTCTGTTCGGATACATGACAAGCCATATCTCAAGCAACTTTCAATATTTTTTTTTTGTTATTTTTTCATTGTGACCGCCTTTGCCCTGTCGTCAATTTGTGCTATCGTATGCTGTGCTGCGCATCGTATTGCGAAAGTTACAAGCCGAAACGCATATCTGTTGATTTGCTCCCATTACTTCTGTGCCACCGTAATAGCTGTGCTCTCAACATGGATATTGGGCCGAGGGTACGAATTCGATGTCAAACACGCGTTTCGATGTCAAACCCGCGTTTTTGTCTCTCTCTCCTCCGCTACCGGGAGCGAACAAACACCTAGGAGGGTTCGACCCATGTCGACAGCGTCCATTCCTTCCACAAAGAGCGTGTGAGTATTGATAGCAAGTTACATTACTACATACCCAAGCGAGTAAGACGTAGCCCCACACGGGCCACTCCGTGCATTCCTCTCCCTCCTCGTTGCCGCAGCTCCCATCGTCAGAAGACATCACTTTCCGTCGCACCACACCTGAACAGGGAGCATAACGTATTGACGAACGCGTAATTTTGACCAAAATGTACGGTACATGTGCACGGTAGTGCTGTGTTTCATCGGAAGGCTAGATAGACAGACTTCGTTCTCACCGTTTTGCTGCAACTCTTTGTGTTTTTGGGCAGCCCTCGCCCAGCAAGGCACAAAAACGTAATAGCGGGAAACATTTCGGCGCGTGGGCGATATGGCTGGAGGTGTTCGGCGCCGCAGGTGCCCCGAGCCCTACGCAGGATCCACCGGAGGTAGCCCCCCCAGGGACCCGCGGAGGGAAATGTTTGGCCCTTACGAATATTTTGCATGACTTTGCCTTCATTTCCGGAACACGTGAATGGCTTCTTTTGAACCGGTTTTCGTAGCCAACATGTAAGCAAACGTGGAAACAGAGGAATCTTGGCTCCGTTGTTAATCAAAACACATACGAAATCCACGTACATTGCAATGCTATGATTGTACACTGCCCGAACTGTCGGGTGGACACTGTTAATCGCGTGGACGCCACTTCAAAAGAAGATGTATGTGTTTGCTCAAACCTCGCGAATTAAAACCACGCCCGGAGAAGGGAGAAAGAGTGGGCACGCCATGCGGAGCATCGACGGGCTCTGATACATGACACATTCTCCTTATCGCATACAGTAGGTGACCCCCATGTAGTGGCATGTAGGGACAAGAGGAAAATATGCCACTATTCAGGGCAGTGCCACTATTCTATAGAGTGGAATATTGCCAGTATTGACCCGTGAATAGTGGCGCCATTGCCACTTTATCTGAGAATAAGCTTTGATGTGCACGCTACCGACAGCTGAGCGTTTGTCTAGGCTCATGAGTGTAGTACCTGGTACTATGCACATCTAGGTTGACTCTCGTGGTTGAGCAGTTGTGTGCAGCAGTATCTTCATAACAACGCAGATCCTGCCGATCACATGTGCTGTGACAATTGATCGTCCAAGTGACAACGAGGCCTTCTGTGCTCACAACCTAACTTTGTGTGCAGGTGGACTGCACAATGTCCAAACGCACAGTAGCAAAGTCACATTTTTTTTTTCCGGCGGGCCGGTGTACGATGGGATGTATCACACGCAAAAAAACATGAAAAAGCAGTGTACGCGAAACCAACTGGAGCAACCAAGAGTTGTAAACGCCAAGCACTCCCCTCACCCCGGCGCATCAATCCCAACCGTCACGATTGCTGTTTGCACCTATGGGCGTCAACCGACTACTCCACTATGACTGGGTAAACCCGTGATGTCCAACTGCCAAGTCGGTCTAGCGGCATGTGCTGCGAAGAATGCCATCTTTGCCTTGGCGAGGAAATGCCCGGCCTCGCAAATCGCACACGACTCTGCGAAATCTTCTCGAGGAGCAAAAAGCGCAGAAACCAATGTTTGTAATTGCCACTATTGGGGGGGTGAGATCCCCAAATGCCACTATTAAGGGCACCATCCTCGATAGTGGCAACATGCCAGTTTCTCATCGGGTTGAGATTGTGACAAGAGATTTTGTTGCCGCTATATCGGGCGTTTCACAAGTCAGGGTGCTGCTTACGTGGCCACCTACACTGTAGTAGTACCAACAAACTTCGTAGATCGGTGTTGCCACCGACAGTAGTAGTAACAAACTGCGAAAATGCGACCATAGCGAGTCGTTGTAGTACTGCTGTAGCACGAACGAACGTACGAACGCTGAGAAATATGGCGAGGCGTACCTACGCCAGAGCTGGCGAGCGAGAAGCTCCAGTAGCTCGGTACAGCGATCTAGGCCTACCCAGTGCACAACAACCTAGCTTGGGGTGTGGGCGAGGGTAAGGGTTAGAGTTTAGGGGTGGGTTAGGCCTGGCGAGGCCTAGAGCCATGTTGTAGCCTGAGGGCTGGAAACCTGCTACTGGCCTCGGTTTAGTGTCGACACCTCCAACCACAACGCGAAAACTGTTAATCTGGCGAGAGTGCAAGAAAGTCTCCAGCTTTGGCGTATACACGCGCGTCCAAGAAAATACCAAGCCTGCATTTGTTATTTGTTTTGAGGGGGGGGTTCAGAGTTGATCTCCGAAAGCAGACAGAATGATGAGTGCATGTTGTGTGGTGGCCATTAGCCAAAACATTGCCGGCCGTGTTTCGCCGAACTGGCCGCAAATCCCAGAAACGATTTTCGGCGACTGCAAGGCGACGGTCACAAATCTGGCGTAGCGCCGAAGCGCCGAAGCTTTACATCCTTGAGCTACCATGCTATCATCTACCGGAACTTCATGTTTGTAGCTGCTCAGCAATGTGCTGAGCAGTTGGACGCGTCAGTCTACAGGTAGCGCCCGCAATTAAGAAACGCTTATTTCAGGTCCGGCCGCGAATTCTTATCGTGGGCTATAAACTCAGAGTATGTCGTTCAGTTTCTTATATCACGTTTCTTATTTTTTCGTGCAGCCAAATCCTGCTGAATTTATTAAATCGGCAATTTCTCATTTCTTTGCTTTCCTCGCCTCCCGTTTTCAACCACGATTCTCACTACCGACGGCTGCACGTAAGGCCACTCCCTAGAAGCGAAATGTATTCATCGGCAACGTCCTGCTATCGCTACAAGAGCCCGCAGGGGCCGCCGCCCCCTGCGGGGGCGCCGCAAAAAAAAACACTCCCCCCTCGGCGTACAACAAATAATAATGCACTATGGGAGGGGGGGGTAGGGGGAGAGGGGGAAAGAGCGAGAGAGCTGTGGGGTTTGTTTCTTATTCGACACACTCCCCCGTAACCCCTCGTTTCTTATGTAGTAGGGCAGCGGTCGCTGCTGCTGTGTTTCTTGTTGAGACATTTCTTATTGTGTGACCAAGATTGAGCTATGTTTCTTAACCCTATTTTCTTATTTTTAGTGAAAAAGTGAACATATATTTATTTCTTGAAAAAATATTTCTTAATTGCGGGTGCTAACTGTATCACTCTTCATCTCCATGCTCTGCGTACGGGGGTGAGCGTGAAACGTTCGATCACACAACGATTGTACGTGCTTAGAAAGTGATGCACCTATTATTATGGTCGGCTCGCGGGTGGTGTGCCTTCGACCCAGGTACCACCGTATATATGTACTTGTAGGAGCGCTGTATACGCCAAATCTTTGCAAAGCTGGTGACTTTCTTGCGCTGTGTGGTTGGGGGTACTGCTGTACAGACGGGGCCCTTCAGTTGAGAAAAATTCTGAAGAAAAGCTCAGGTATTTTACGGAAAATAAGAAAAAAGGCCTAAGAAACACAGCTCAATCTCGGCCACAACAAAAGAAACGTCCCAATAAGAAAGATGATCATGCGATACCAAGACAAAAGAAGCAAGGGGTAGAAGCTGGGGGCGCGTGTCCAAAGAAACGTCACACTCACTGCCGCTGCTGCTGCTGCCATGCTCCCACCCCCTACCCAGCTCATGTCATGTCATGTTTTGGTAGGGTAGATAATAATTATTTTCGCGGCGCCCCCCGCGCCCCAGCACCGCCGCGGGCTGCGCTATGCGCTACCCATTGCTGCTGTACTTCTGTACTACCACAACCCCCAATGTTCACCACACCGAGCTGTCGGGTTAATGCTGCATGAAGGCTTGGTGTGTTGTTGTTTTCTTCGCCATCATCAGAAACAAGACAAAAAGAGAATCAGCAGGATGCGACAGTCCGAATGAATAATAAGAAATCCGTTGAAAAAGTTGGTTTACTTCGGCTGGTCCTTCAGCCCAGAATAAGAAATTGAGGCTCGACCCGACTTTGGCGTTTCTTATCTCCGGGCCCTTTCTGCAGTAGTCTAGACCTGCTAAGTAGGTTTCCAGTCCTCAAGCTACACCTCAGCACAAAATAGACCGCACCAGGCCTTACCCACCCCTAAACCCTAGCCCTTAACCCTAACTCAGACCTATACCCCAAGCAGTGGGTAGGCCTAGGTCGCTGCACCGAGCTACTGGAGCGCGCTTCGCGCTCGCCAGCTTTGGTATATTGCCTCGTCACCGTAGGGGTATCTAGGTAGATACTGCTGTATGTAGCTTAGACTCGATGTCAAGGATTAACTACTTACTTACAGCTGACTGTGCTGTGTAGACTTTGCCGCAGCACATTAACTACATACTCGCCAGTCTAGAAGATTATGACGAGTACAACAAGTCTATAATGTTGGTCGCCTCTCGCGTGTACTGGTGTGTGTGTGCTGTGTGTGCTGTGTGTGTTGCGTAGTCGACGTCACCCGCCTGGAGTCCGAAGTGCGCTCCGTGCCTGTGATGTAAATTGTGCCGCCCGCCTTCCGCCACCTCTGCCCGAGATGCGCACACTTTAGCTTGTACTTTCGAACACCGACAGTTCTCGCTGCCTCTCTCTCACGCACTCCCTCTCTTGTCCTTTCTCGTCTCCCTGCTGGGCGTAGTCCGGCATGTGGGCTTGGGCGTGGGAGGTGGGAGGTCACGAGGTCACAGCAGTAGTTGCAGCACAGAGCGTTCGCTTTGAGAAAAAATGGCTGACACGAGGAGCGAAGTTTCTTTGAAATTGCGTTGGGTGCTGGGTGATTCCGCACAGACAGACAGTCTCGCGCGATCGGAATAACAGAACCGTTCTCGCATCAGCTCTGAACCAGCTCTGGAACCAGCTCTGGGTCTCTGAGCAGTCTCTGTGTCTCTGTTCTGTGGCTCGGCGCGTGGGTGAGTAGCATGTTAGCATGCTGGCTGGCGGCCGGTTGGTTCTCTCGCACAAACGGCTCCTCACTCAAGCGCACTACGAAGGTCCACGGCAAAGCGGGCGTCAAACCAATACGGTACTTTGACAACCACACCCCACCCCTTCTATTTTGATCGATCGAGCCGGTAGGGTCGGGCACACACAGTCATCCAGCAGCATTAGGAACCCGTGCACTGCTGTGACCTCCCAACTCAACCCCAACCTTCCACCTCACATACATGCCGAATCCTGCACCACAACAGAGACCACGCACACCAGCGAGAGGAGAGAGAACAAGACAGGGCGTGTGTGAGAGAGAAAGAGGCAGCGAGAACGGTCGCGTTCGAAGCGGGACGTACGCTACAACAGCAGGGGTGCGCAGTCCAGCAGGGGCTGCGGCAGGCGGGGAGCACAACTTTAAGTTTACAACACAGGCAAGGAGTGCACTTTCCAGAAGGTTGACATGCACAACGAACACACGGTATTCGGAAGAGGCGAAAAATCATGCATCATTCCGACACGGCTGCTAGAGGAGGCCTCTATCGTTGCATCATTTATTGTGTGCTTCAACATTGATATTTTCGTATTTTCCTGGGCGTGAGTCGAGCCCTGCTGCACCCGTGGGTCGAAGGCGCACCAGCTGTGAGCTGACAATATCATAGATGTATCGCCAAGCACGTACAGCCTTTGTGTGACCGAACGTTTCGTGATCACCCCACTAACCAGAGCATGAAATCAAGAGTGAGAGACTCGCGTGTTGCACTGCTTATTATGTTACCGCGGGTGACGCAAGATATCACACCCCCTGGACCGATAACCGAAACTCGGTTATTCCACACAGCGCCGAAAGTGGTGGTACCAAAAATGGCGGCGTTGGAACCGCATCGTCAAGGGCGTTCCGCTAACAACGTGTCGCTTGATTTGCACGTGTTCGTCGTGGAGTAACAGACCTTTGAAAGTCGGTCTAGGGGGTCGGGTGGTGGTATCTAGTCACCTACGGTTGCAGTGGAACTGTGAGAACGATGTTAACCTTGTGATGAAACACAGCACTAACGTGCAATATGATTGCACCATATGTGTTCGTCGTAATGACCCATGCGACAAAACGTCATGTTCCCTATCCAGGCGTGGTGCCACCGTAGCTGGTGGCTTCGGCTGGTGGCTTCGATGTCGTGGTATTCTTCTGACTCTCACGATGATAGCTGCAGCGACGAGGAGGGTGAGGAATGCCCGGAGATGACCCTGTTGGGCAACGTCATATTCTATTGGGTATGTGTGCGACTTGGTCTCAACAATAACACGCTCTTTGAAGAAGAGTGAAGCCTGTCGACATGGAGTCTATCCTGTTTGGGGTGCTCGGCAGAGTATACTGTCTATGGGGCCTCCGGGGGGGACGCGGATGAAATGTGTTGATGGGCATGCTGCATGGCGATGGTGTTGCCTACCGCATGTCTCTCACTCTCTAAGCAACAAGGTCTTGAGTCAACCTTCTTTCTCTTTCGGCCTCTGACGAGCTACCGCACCCAAACACAAAAACCCTTGTAGGCGTTACATCACTTCCGGGAGCGGGGAGACAAGATATTATTGATGATACCGATTTTGTGACATGGGCGGAATATCCACGAAACGTGTATGTACAAGAAAATTCCAACGATGTTGCTATATAGCCTATCATGGGCATTGAATATCCTTCCATCATTGCGATTTGTTGTGTTATTCAATTGGGAGTGCTGTTATTGTACCACCCATCGGTAAATGGAAATCGCACTGTCGCCCACTGCTGTATCGACTCGAGATCGAGTCAAATTGCTCTTCTAACGCTGTCAGGACGATTGGCAACAACCGAAGCCGCTACATAACTGCCGCTAAATGATGTCTGCAACTCTGCTATCAGGTATGGGCGGGGTTTATGACAAGCCTGTGTCTGCGGCTAAAATATTCTTCGTTCGCCAAGCCGTTCGTTGATCGCATCGGGATTCTCCGAAGTGTTGCCAATCGGTGAGTAATTCGTAGCAGTCAACCCAGCCTTCTCCAAACCCAGACACAAACAACGGTATTATTTTGGTTTGTTGTTTTATATGTAGTATGTGGTCAAGACGTCACCCGATGCCTTAAATATTCCCCAGCACCAAGGCGCAATTTTCTCGACATGGCTGTTGCTGTTTTGAAATCTGAAAACGTTAGGAACCCCGTCTTGAGGCGCGTTCTACTGTGGAGGGTGGTCTAGGATGGCGTTTGCGTGGCCCCCGACGCTTCTTTCATGCCTGCTGGAACCAAATCACCGTACGAACTTTATCAAAGACCGCAGAACAGAAAGTAGTATTTCTTGGCATTCCCCTGTTGGGAGTTTCTGCATGGTCCAGAAAAAATTCATAGTCTCTAGAAAAGTCAAGTTTCGCCGTTCATAGAGGGCCTTGGAATGGTTCCATGATAGCAACTAAAGCAGCTGTAGCTGTACAATTTTCGTAGAAAGTGCCGAAAAACGCTCCTTGAAAGTTTGGATTGGGAAAAAAACTACCTGTCTCTGTAACTCGATATAAATATATTGCTTTGACTCTAGCACGCACGTTCTTGCGGACTTCCATTGTGGTTATCGGTTGTGTGCTTCCAACGTATTACGGCGAAATAGGTTTCGTTACTCTCTGGTCAATTAGTGATTTACCCGCGCTGTTTTTGAGGATCATGGCAAAGCCCCTGTATTTTTTCGGTTGTATACGATGATCGCCTGAAGCAAGTGTGATTCGACAAATTGTTGCACATGGCAATACCAACACAGCTTCCAGGTAGATTGGGTGTTTGGAAAAGGTGTACAGGTGTATGTATACCCTACTAAATCCAAAACAACGCAAAAACTATACTTCATAGGATTCGTATACCGCACGAAATCCTACCACGGTATATAATAGATCCCCTACCCCCCCGGATTGGCTCTTAATCCAGTTTTGGGCAGGCTGTCAGGAATCCCGGTGCGCGGGCCCTCTTGGGCCTAACCCAGGTATGATTCTGTGAAGTGGATGGGTGGGTGAGTTCGGGTCTTGGCGCTTGTCGCACAGCAGTGTTGTTGACGCCCGTCTTTTGTTTTGCGTGCCGTTACAAATATGATGTCCGTCGAACATGATAGTGCCCACTGTGCGAAGAACTCACGCTCGGTTTCATCACGACAATGAGACTGGTTCATCCGTGAACCCAGAGTTTCGGGGAACGGTTTCCGCGTCGGAGATGATACCAGTTGTTGTTGTGTCTGTCTCATGTGCAACCTCAACGACTGAATGCGTACATCACTCACGCTCGGTTTCATCACGATACCGGGATTTGGGTTCGTCTGTGAACCCAGAGTTTCGGGGTACGGTTTCCGCGTCGGAGGTAGATATATTACCATTATTCTTCTTGTAGATGCCACCAAAAACCATTGAATGTGTTGCATGTTCAAGCTTAAACAACTGCCATGCGTTTTCGGTGCCGCCAATGATCCACACAGCATACCATTCTCGACGCATGCATGCTGTTTGTGCGCCGACATCGACCACGTCAAAGACACAGCTCACCCTGATTCCTGCATGGTACTTCCGTTGTTCTGACTTGCCTACCCCACCGCTCGTTTTTTCCTGCCCTCCATCCGAATTTATTTTCAGTTTTGTCTCGAGATGGTTATATGCACTTTGCTGGGGCCCTTGCCCTTGGCGATCCTGCTCTGCTGGTACTTCCACCACTTCTACGTAGTAGTCCCCCGACAAGCCGGTGAGTACGGTGGGAGCAGCCGTCGTTAGAGATTCTGCATAGAGGGTTGGCCAGCTTGCTAATAAGCTGTTGGCAACACCACCCGTAGACAATGGAAGTTCACGCGTTGACCGTGGCGATAATCTTCCTTCCTTGAGTTAACTTTGCCAGCGATGTACATATCTTTGTTTCTCTCTACAATACTTACAGGGCTTACGGCAAGGGGTGTCCTCTGTCCGTAAGGCGAAACCGGCGTAAAATCTACTGCTGTACGTAGAGGAAATCATGTGAATACATACGCCGTCATCTGTCCCTCGAAACCCACGGTCATAAATGGAGAGCTGTGAGCATTCCCGAAACACCGACATCACGCCCATTGCGTTCCCTCTTTCGTGTGTCGCAGCGAGGGAGCGGGCGGTGGAACGCTTGCGAACGTTTCCGGGTCAGAGAAGGTGGCACGCGGGGGGCTGGCTGATCATGATACGGGCGCGTCACCAAAGGTTCTTGGCAAGGCCCAAGGGCTGGCCTATCAGGTTGCGGAAGCTCGAACGTTTCAACGAGGCCAACATCGTCCATAAGATCCCTCCCGAGCTAGAGCTACTAGAGGCGGGAAGGTCTAGGATGAACTTTGTCCGGGCGGTGACGGCGGTTGTAGAGATTAACGAGGAAGGGTTGTTCCGCCACATTATTTCGTTCCTGTAAACATGGTATACTGCTGTAAAAATCAGTCCCCAATTGCAAATTGGGGTCTCAGTTGTCGCGAGTACTATACAAGCACAACAGATTATCGATATATATATGTCCTCGTTGCCCCGAGAAGTTCACCATTTATGTGTCCCACTCGCTCGGAATGACGCGGGGGGCACGTTGACCCTCCCGTGTTCCATGTTTTCGTACTGTAACAATCTTCCTGGAGTATTTTTCGTCTGGGACGTCGATCATGGTATCTCGTGGAGGTTTCCTTCCGTTAACCTTGACTTTAATTTATTTCGATGAGACAAGATCAAATCCGAAAGAATGCGGTGGACGGATTTGAACTTTTTGCCCAACGGATGCAGGTGGGAGGGGCAAACAACGTAGGAAGTCTCAAAACACGCGAATCAATGCGCATGTGTGGCACGAAGTATGTCAGCGGGCATGCATGTCATGTAGCGGTCGCGAAATCGGTACCCGTTTGTGACGAAACTCCGGCCGGTCGGGTCGCTCAAAGCATTCTCGATGTGCTAGAATGTCGAAGATCTGGTGTCCTGTTCTTTCGCGAGCCTTCTTGATTTCCTCCAACATCGCTCAGACCTTCTTGAAGTGGTCGCTCAGACGCTTCAATACGTCCGGCACGGCGTCTTCTCCACCGCGCCATATTGAGGAAGAATGCTCCTTGGTCGGTCTGGGTTCACAGGGCTCACTCCGCTTCCGAGGCCTCACCGTCTTCCGAACCTGTCCATGTGTACCCTCAGAGACCGAAGACGATGACGGCCGGCAGCGTTCCGAAACATCACGCTCGTTTACCCCCCTCTCCAGTCGCACAGACGACACCCGTCGGATCCGCCCCCTCGTCCTCCTCCACATTCGCCCCAGCCCCTGCGTCACAGATGAATCCTTCGTCGATGCCACCAAAGTCAGGATTTGTTCGGTATCAGGTAGGTCCGACGTCGCCTCCTCCTGGTTGGAAACCGGTTCCCGATCGGTCGCTACACACTCGCTACAAACCACCGTTGGTTGTCAGAAAGAACGTGTGTGCGCAAGAACAAGAGGGTTGTCAAGGGGTTGTCGAAGTGTCACAGAGGTTATCACGCTATCGCTTAGGGTAGCTCACTCATGTGTTAGCGTAACAAGCACTGGCTAGGGTTCAATTAGTTTCTTCCATTTCATGGTCAGTTTCCTCCATTTCATGGTCAGGTTCATGGTATCTTACCATTGGATTCAAGTTGGGGGCTAGCAAAAGGGATACCGTCCCTGTGGGTCTAGCCCTGTGGGTCTAATCAAGGCGGGATTAGCAAGGGGGGTCTACCTCATGCATTGACTCACAATTGGTTGCTGCTTAGCGATGTGGGTCAAAGTTCCTCTTCCGAGATTGGCCGTGTTAACAGTGAGCGATCACCCAAAACACGTGTTGAGGCGGAGCTCTAGAGGGGCTCCGCCAATGATTCAGGTACACCCTGGGGTATACCCTAGCCCTCCTCAAACCATCGTGAAATGGAATGATTCTCAGTATTTAGCGCCCGTTCATGCTACCGTGACACCCCCCCAGCATACATGTGTTGAAAAACACAAAATGCTAAGGAGGTAGCAGAACGTGTGCTTCTCCCTCCTCAGATCAAACCACGCCGGGAATATAGATCTGAAAAGGGAGGATGCCGCCCTCCCCCAGGTTAAACCACAAAAAAATGGATTTTAACCTCGAGAGGACGGATGCCGGTGTGTTCGACGTCGATGTTACATTGCTGAAATCATCGACCCCGAATGACGGCCGTTAGTACTTTGGCCGCCGTATACCGGACTCCTTGACGATGACGATCTTGGACTGAAGAAGGCGATCGTCCACTGAAGAAGGTGATCTTCCACTGTTGAAGACGTTCTTCCACAAACAGTCTCCACAGACCGACGACTATGACGATGATCTTGCGTCTTGACCGACGATCACCGACTGTTGAGGACGATCTTCCGCTGTAGAAGACGATCTTGGAACTCCTCAGGTGATCTTCCACTGTTGAAGATGTTCTTCCACCAACAGTCTTCACAGACCGACGACTATGACGACGATCTTGCATCTTGACCGACGATCACCGACTGTTGAGGACGATCTTCCGCTGTAGAAGACGATCTTGCAACTCCTCATTCGTGACACTGCCGTCACACCCCCCCCAGCTTCCCGCATGGAGGACGGAAGATGGCAGGCAGTGTACGACTTCACGATTCTTGAGCGGTCAGCGGTGGGAGTCTGGTGGCAAGATCCATTCGACGCCTTAGCTTCCTGCGATTGAGCTCTTCCCAATCTCCGTCACTGAACTCCACCCTCCGATACGTATCATAGGAATCGCAGACCTTCCCTCTGCTGATCACAGTATTGCTCTCTTGATCCATGAGCTCCCGTCCAACCATGGTTCCACAGGGAAATTCCGCGAGAGCTTCGGTCCGCGTTGCTACTTCGCGTTCTCCTCGCGACGGCGGTCCCGGGGGTCGTGGTGCGATATTCACCCCGTGAAAGTCTTCCCACAGTGCATGAAAAACATCAAGTTACAGAGGCGAGAAACTGTCTCTGGCAGTGTCTTCGGTGATCCACGGAGAAGTAGTGGTGCCATCCTGATACTTTCCTCTATACTCCCATGCCCATGCGGACGCTATTCCTCCAGCGCCCTGGACCACCCGTCTATTCACCAAAGTATACAGAGATGCCGCGACGACGGAGTCTTCAGCTAATCCCTACTCCTCCACCATGTCACAGAGGTTATCACGCTATCGCTTAGGGTAGCTCACTCATGTGTTAGCGTAACAAGCACTGGCTAGGGTTCAATTAGTTTCTTCCATTTCATGGTCAGTTTCCTCCATTTCATGGTCAGGTTCATGGTATCTTACCATTGGATTCAAGTTGGGGGCTAGCAAAAGGGATACCGTCCCTGTGGGTCTAGCCCTGTGGGTCTAATCAAGGCGGGATTAGCAAGGGGGGTCTACCTCATGCATTGACTCACAATTGGTTGCTGCTTAGCGATGTGGGTCAAAGTTCCTCTTCCGAGATTGGCCGTGTTAACAGTGAGCGATCACCCAAAACACGTGTTGAGGCGGAGCTCTAGAGGGGCTCCGCCAATGATTCAGGTACACCCTGGGGTATACCCTAGCCCTCCTCAAACCATCGTGAAATGGAATGATTCTCAGTATTTAGCGCCCGTTCATGCTACCGTGACAGAAGGGGGCGAATCCGTCCGCGCACGTGTTTACCTACCTCTTGTGTCAAAAAGCAAACATTTACCATGATTTTCGAAACACTCACATCTCCATCGGGAACGCCCTGGAGAGGGGGGTCGCAGCACTCAGTGTGGCTGGCGCCTGAGCAATTCGCGCCATCGCACAAAATGATGAGTTTGCATTCTGCATTTATTTGCAGAACGTCAAGAACGCAATACACGTGCAACCTCACGGTCGGCGCAGGAAAAGGAACAGCTGGAATTCTTTTCGAGACGAATAACCAAGGCAAGCACCGCGCAAACACGTGGCGGGCCTTCCTCGTGACCCCGGCTGGTTGTCAAAAACAATTGTACCGAAAGATAGGTATGGGGCGAAGTCCAGAACTATTAGTAAATGGGATGACGAAAGGAAAGAAGGTCTAATAGGAGTGCCTCGAGCTCCTGAAAACGGACGAATCGACTCTGGTGGGTGCCGTCGCCTTTTTGGTCGTTGCGGGTACGGAAATGTCGAGAGGGTGTGGCGCGCGTGCACAATCGCAAAGTCATGACACGACCTACATGCTGTAGACTATGGCCCACGTACGCCATGACTTCTACCTCGCAGTATGATAGTTTTCACCGAAGGTCATGAAAAGAAAGGGTGATGAAAGCAACAGGAAAACAAGCCCGTAGTATGTAGCATAGCTGTGTGGATAACACGAGGGTTTGGGGGCGAAACCACAACGGTTACGGCAGTTCTCGTGCTGAGTGCAACACATCATGCACCACACACCGCATTAACGAACGCCTTGTTCACTTCCGAACATCATAGAGTTTTTCGACATCCACATTACATAAAATAACACAACAATGACGAGCATCGCTTTCCCCCACTTACAATCAACCAAATTTTCCCCCCGCGTGAGAGAGCTCCCGATGGCACCTGGTCCTGTCACACTGGACTGACCGGTCTCCTCTCCCTGCCGACCCCGAATCTCTCGAGCCACGCATAATGTATACTACGCCGAATTCCGTGGCCTGCCTCTGCACTCCCCCTGAGTTTTACAAGAATGGCACGGGAATCTAATTCAGTACAGGAACACCCAAAGTCGGAGGATAAGGAAACGACCACTGTGTGTAACCGAGTGGTACCCGTTTACGCACGCCTCTCTCTGTCGCTGTCTCTCTCTTGTCTTTCGCTCTCTTTCTCCCATTCCCCCTTATCTTGCTCTTCCATTCCGAGCAAGCACCCGTTCGCGGCTGAAACCTCCCAGGGCGCTCCGTGGGTTGTATCCTCTCTGCACCACCCCCTACACGCGTGCAGCTCCACGCTTACTGCCAACCAAACACGATTTACGATCGTCACCGTGCCGATTCTCTCATTCTTTTTCGCCTTAATAGATGGTACGAAGTACAAGCACATACCTAGGTCGCTTGCTGCCTTAAGTGTAGCAGCGTTTTTGTCCTTTATACCATTGTTTCCCGCCTCAAAAAGTATCAAGACGAGGGGAGAGATAGATAGGTTGCTGTCCTAGTGTAGCAGCCGGTTTTTAAGGTCTTCCGTCTGTTGTGCGTTTGTGGCAGCAACGTAGTCGACGGAGGCAGGGCCCCGTTTAGGCACATGCTGCACTCCTTGTCGCCGTAAAACCGACCAATCAAAAACAACCACAAGGCCCGTCGTATATATGTACCCATTCAAGCATAAAACACAAGCAGAGAGCACTACCATTGTAAAGGTTTGTTGTGCAGCCCCAGCGACGATAAGAATTTAAACACAGACAAGAAAATAAAATGATTGCCTTCAAACACCACAAAAAAAGACTTGTAACCCGTTCTCCGGCAAAAAGCTCGACAATAATTTCGCTGGTGGGAAATTTCAAACCAACCGGGGCGGTACATACCTCTACATCACCGGTGCTCTTCAACGAAGGGGGCGGGCGATCACCAGTAGCCGGCTAACAATGGGTATACACCCACCCTGCCCGGCCTCTTCCCCCCGACGGCGTTATCAACCGCACAACCAAAATCCAGCGACTGGTGATCTATTTCCCTTGGACGTAGTATCTGCATCATCTTGCCCCCTTAGCGAATCAACACAGCGGGGCTTGTGCTACATGTATCACTCCCCACGTTACCAACCAACTCTCTGGAGTCAGAAGCAATACTTCATATCCAGCGCTCCGAACTCGGAACCAACAATTCATATGCAGGTGGCCTACGGGTGAAGCTAGTGTCAAAGGATCCAATCGACATTCCAAAACGGCAACATGGTGACGCCGTACGAGCGGGTCCCATCATCAATCGGTAGCGGAGCTGCAGGGTCACGTCCCAGCGGCGTGGATGGAACGCGCGTGTCAACAGCCGTCCGGGGTAAGAACCGCTATCGAGCCCCACCTTAAGGTTGAGGAGGGTCAAAACCTCTCCCCGTATAACTATGTTACACCGTTGTCGCTGCTGCTGCTGCTGCTGCTGCTGCTACGGTTTCGGCAGGCAACCCAGGTCGTGCCGACGGGCTACTGTATCGCAACAACAAAAAAAAAAAATGCTGAGGCGTTCGGTTGCTGCTCCTTGCCGCAGCAACGCCGCGCTCAAAGGACGCCCTTGAAGGGGTCGTAGGTGGTGCTCCGGAGGGCGGCCAGGGGATGGAACAGACGCTCCCCCGGCGCCCATCTTCCGGCACCGCTTCCTCCTCCTGCTGCTCCTGCTCCTCCTCCTCCTCCACACGGCCCGCCTCGTGCTCGACTTTTTCTCTTCTGCCCGGGACGATCTTCTAACGACTTCCAGGTCTCCCACGACCACCCTGTTCCACAAGTGAAGTTTGCACAACGAAATTTCAGTTTTGACACAACCAACGTTGCACAAGTGAAAATCCAAGAAAGGACAGCCACGGCTGCTGTAGGGCGGATTACACATGGCGGGTAGCCTCCACTGTCCGGGTGAAATACAATCGTGGCACAGATACTAGAGGAACGATCAAGACGTTTATTGCCTGGGAGAGGGTGCGTGCCCGCTACAGGGCGGGTGAACCGGCCTTGCACATACCCACCCGACACCGTTATGACACAAGATATCACACCCCCTGGACCATTTTTCCAAAATTCGATTACTTCACAGCAGAAATACCAACGGTGCCGAAAATGGCGGCGTTGCGACCGCCTTGTCGGAGAGAACTTTCCGAAAGACGCGAAATTGAGGTCGACATGCTCTTTGTTGTGTGAGTAGTCGGGCTTTGAAAAGCAGTCCATGCAGGGGGTGTGACAGCTTAACGTCACGTCCAACAGACCCACGGCTGCGCGTGCTCACGCACCATCTACCCAGCACTACACAACCGGCCGTCTCCTCCTCCGCCCTACCTACCTACCTTCGCATTTGTTGGGTTCCATGAGGATCGGCTCCTTGTCCGGGTTGGCGACGGGTGCGAGCATGAAGACGGTAACGTAGTGCTTTCCGCCCTCCATGTTGGGGTTGTTCATCACCCACGAGAACGTTGGGGTCTCCACCTTAAAGAGACGGCGGTGTGCAGGGGGGTTAGGGCTCTGGCTATTGGTGGAAGCATGTGATAGGACGAGGAGGTGCAAGTCTCCACCTGAAGAGATGGCGGCGTGCAGCAGGGGCAGGGCTAGTGCTAGGTGGCAGCATGTGATAGGACGAGGAGGTGGAAGTCTCCACCTGGAGAGATGGTGGCGTGCAGCAGGGGCAGGGCTAGTGCTAGGTGGCAGCATGTGATGGGGCGAGGAAATAAATGGAAGTCTCCATCTACGGAGACGGCGGCGTGTAGCAGCGAGTGTGTAGGAGTAGTGCTCTCGTTAGGTGGCAGCATGTGACAGGGCGAAGAAGTGGGAGTCTCCACCTAACGTGTCTGCTAGGGTTGGGCGGCAGCGTACGCTAGGCGAGTAACGCAGCCGAGAAATGTGCTAGGGTTAGGCGGCAGCGTACGTTAGGCAAAGTAATGCAACCGAGAAATGTGATAGGGTTAGGCGGCAGCGTACGTTAGGCAATGTAATGCAACCGAGAAATGTTCTAGGGTTGGGCGGCAGCGTACGTTAGGGCGAGTAATGCAGCCGAGAAACCTGGGGGTGACAGCAGCAACCTCGAAAGATCAAGAGCGTTCGACATAGGCACGCCGACGCACGGGACCACGCTGTCGACTCGGCCGACCCACGTTTCCCTGTATCGTGCTGGACAGCCCCTTTCAGCATGTCTTGGGGGGCGTTGAAGACACTGGTGAACGATCCGAAGATCGGTGTGTTGCGGTACATGCTCTGATCCGCGTGCTCTTGGGGGTAATTTTTGAGACCCATAAACACGCAAGCAAAGTCGACACGATCACACCCGCTATAAAATAACCTAGGTCACGCCGTAGCGGAGAAAAAACGCCGGTGTTGACTGCCTTCTTCGTGTCTGTGTGGAAAGCATGTTCGCGTGTTGTTTATCCCACCAAGATCAGCCGGTTAGCGCGGTCGGTGCTACTGCAAAATACAGGTAGCCTCGTCTGACGCTAAGGATATATTGCTTATCTATCTTCTCGACTCTTTTCTTTGAGAGGGATGGATTCGTTGGGCAATATTAAGAAAACACAAACCCACATTTACAAATTAGCCTCACCCATGCTGCCCCCTCACGGGGTCCCAGTTCATGGCAGCTAGAAGTGTTTCGTGTTTTCCACCGCACTAAGACTGACGTCTTCTCATTGGTCAGCCGGTTAGCGCGGTCGATGCTAATAATAAAAAAAAACACACACACACACGTGGTCCCAGATCATGGCCGTTGGAAGCATTTTGCGTTTTCAACCGCACTGAGACTGGTGTCTTTTCATTGGCCAGCCGGTTAGCGCGGTCGATGCTAAAAATAAAAAAAAAAACACACACGTGGTCCCAGATCATGGCCGTTGGAAGCATTTTGCGTTTTCAACCGCACTGAGACTGGTGTCTTTTCATTGGCCAGCCGGTTAGCGCGGTCGATGCCAATAATAAAAAACACACACACACACACGTGGTCCCAGATCATGGCCGTTGGAAGCATTTTGCGTTTTCAACCGCACTGAGACTGGTGTCTTTTCATTGGCCAGCCGGTTAGCGCGGTCGATGCTAATAATACAAAAAAACACACACACACGAGTTGGACGCCTCACCTCCAGCCCAGTCTCCTCAAGCACTTCTCTCTCCGCACACCTCGGCCACTCCTCCCCGACCTCCAAGTGACCCCCTTGGGAGGATGGACGCGACGATTCCGCGGCACCCCCCGAAAGCGATGCGAAACGACAACGCGCAGCACACGCGAGTGGAGGCATAGACGAGACACGCGCAACACCAGAGGTCAGACAAGGCAAGATTGAGACAAGGCAGACGACGATGTGGCGTCAATCCGACTGCACGGAGGGGACGTCCGAGCTACATACATATGGCAAGAAAAAAATCCCCCCGATGGAGATAACCCGAGTGGCGTGGTCGGGATGAATAGAGTCGAGTAATGGCAAACCTCTGTGTGTGTGATGGTGTGTGTTGAGTGTTTTCTCTGCATCTATTCTGGCGCCAGTCAGTCTGCTTCACCTCCCGCAAATACATGGCGAAGTCGGGGTTTACACAACAAACGGAGAGAGGTAGCCCTCGACAGGATCACAATGGAGGAAGGTATCTAGCACAACACAGGGGGGATTTGATTGTTTTTTTGAGAGTTGTTGTTTCTGTTGGACGATGATCATAGCCGTGACAACTCTAGCGAGAGCTTGGCCAACATTCTAGGAAATGAAAAACAAATCCCCCAACCTCCACGCGCGCGGGAGAGAATGCCAGAGACTTCACACTCGAGGACACTCTACGGTGCATCCGACCCAAAAAACCCATCACATGACGACCACCACACGACAAAGCCCGGAATGGCATTCGTCCGGATAAACCACCGCCAGGAAAACGTGCCACCCTCCCTCTCGTGGTACAATTCTGTGGTGCCCCCCGGACATCGAGCGGAACCTCAAAACCGGCACGCCATCCAACAAAAACAAAACCCCTGTAATACAGGATAGCGTCCGCACTTGAGAACCCCTAGGTCTTGGCTGATGCTGGGGTTCTTTAGTTCCTCTCGCGGGCTACATACTAATGCCGCAACATAGGTTTAATTTTAGTGTGGGGGTTCTCAACCGGGCTCTCACAAATGGCACTCAACTTCTTGTGCTCGGTACAGTCTAATGTTGAGCGTGAAGATCTTAGCTGCAAAGTGTTCAACTTCTTCACTGCCAACTAACTTCTCAAACAGTCCGGTCGCTGTGGTAGAACCGCGGGGAGGTCACACGAAACTATTTATGAATCCTAGCTTACAACTATTATCCTGGACCGTTATATGTGGAAAAGGCTACCAGGTATCCATTGCTCGTTAAAACACAACACATGCACGCAATACGCCCCCTCACGGGGTCCCAGATCATGGCCTTTAGAACGATTTTTTCTCTCCGCAACGAGACTGACGTATTTTCATTGGGCAGCCGGTTCGCGCGGTCGACGCAAATATTCAAGACACACACACACATATGCTTTATCCCGCCACAAGATTGGCGTATTTTCATTGGTCAGCCGGTTAGCGCGGTCGACGTTAATATCAAAGACACGCACACACACACCACACTGAGACTGACGTCTTTTCATCGGTCAGTCGGTTAGCGCGGTCAATGCTAATGTGTAAGACACAAAAAAAAAAAAAACACACACACACGCATACCTGGAAGAGCCCAGGTTCCCGCTCCGATGGACCCCTTCCTCTTGCCAATCAAAACACAGCCCGGCTTCTTGGGGTTAGTCACGAGGCACCCGACCCCGACTCGAACCACCCCGCTCGCCAAGCCCGCCGCAATCGCCGCCTGCGCGCCGGCGCCGAGCGGGACACCCCCTCCCCCGGGGGACAGCAGCGCTCCGAGCCCCGTCCCGCTGCCTCGTCCCGCCGCCGCCGCCGCTGCTGCCGCAGCGCGGCTTACCACCGCCCCCGATGGCAGGGGCGCCGGGGGGAGCATGGGAGACAGTTCGGCAGCAGTGGCGTTGTTGGGCGTTACCGCCCCCGATCCTGGAGACAGCAATCGGGGGGAGAGCGAGAGAGTGCTGCTCCCGGCCGCTTCTTGTCCCCCCCCCTGCTGCTGCTGGTGCTTGGAGGGGGAGAGAGCTTCGGCCGCGAGAGCGACTGCTCCGACCGAGTCTATCATTGCCGCCGCTGCTGCCTCTCCTGCCTGCTGCTCTTCTTCTTCGCCCCCGCTCTTCGCCTCTTCGGCTTCCTGCGGCGGCGGTTGCCACACAGCGTTGACGAGGGCATACGGCAAATGACGGACCAATGTCTCCGGCTTATGACCGGAATTCTTTCGACGACGATAACGATAACGATGCAAAAGATGGGACACCTACGAGAAGCGTAGGCTAGCTAGTTCAATCACGAGCAGCAGCAGAAGAAACACCAACACCATGGACCGACATCATGAGGTGTAGGAGGTCCCGTGGATTTATTGGGATTCCGGGGGGCGGGGGGGGGGGGGGGGGGCCCACCTTTTTCCCCCCCCCCCCCCCCGGAAAAAAAAAAAAATTCTCCAAACCCCCGGGCCCCGGGGGGTCCTTGAAAACCCCCAACCCCGGGGGAACCCGGCCCCCACCCCGGCAAAAAGCGAAAAAAAAAAATAAAAGGGTTAAAAAGCCCTCCGAAATCCCCCGGGGGGGGGCCAATTTTGGGGGTCCCTCCCCCCCCACTTAAACGGCCGCCCTTACCCCCCCCGCT